CATTTGCATTCACTTGTAGCATTTTCAATAAAGCAATTTACAACAGCTTTCCAAAGCTTAAATCACAGCGGCAAGAGCAACAGCAACAATTATTAAAACACGAAACAAGTGGCTGCTGCGAGGTCAGCAAAACAATATTACCATTGACCTTCGATTATGTCGATTGTGCTGATTGTAGTGATTGCTCGCCTTGCTTCGACGAAACCGAAATGTGTAAACGCCATTTTATAGTCAAGAGCTGAGGAAAACTTTTATCATAAATTTCGAAACAGCTGCCAAAAAAGGTGTCTGTTCACGCCGAAGTAAAAGTGTAAAAGCGCCAGAACATATTTTTTTATCATTTATTTTGGGAGGCTCCAAGCATTGCTCGTGGCTAAGGTCAGCCATGTTGGTAGCAACAGATATTCATACGAAGATGATGTACTCGAGTTATGACCAAAAAAGGCAAAAACCAATTTGAACAATCGAAATGCGTTATTGCACAGTTGAATGCGTAGTGATTTCACTTTTCTCGGTGGTAAAGAAAAGTTCAGGACAATATTTCTAAAGTGTAATGTGTTTTTTTGGTTGTTTGGTGGTGCCATTGAAGCAATTTAATGCAGATGTTGGCTATGTACACAATAATACTTTTCATTAGAGTGAGGTTGGAATTTAAGAATTTCAGAAGCAACACTTTAAGCGTTAATTTTGGTATATTAAACAATATTTTGTGACTTTATATTCTTCAACATACCTAATAAATGAGAAGATGAATATTTTACCGTTTGCTGGCCAGAAAATTTATTTTCAATAGTTTTTTGAACGGTAATCTTGTAAAATTATCTCAATAGCGAACACTAATCTCATTATTATCCCACTTTTCTAAAATACTTTATGTGAGCTAAACACACCTCTTACATTCCGAAAAATGTTGGACAACATTGCGTATGAGTAATACTTTTTTCTTAATAACATAATCAATAAACTTTCATTTTAACCTAACACAATCCAGTATTCAAAATATTCCAAAATTGTTAACAGTTTTGTTGTTGTTCTCAAACTTCATATTTGCATATCCGTTTAGTTAACTGAGGAAGAGTGGAAGCATGTCTTTTACGTGATGTTTTCACACGATTGAGCGCCATATTTGATTCAAAGTCACGTTTTATCAAAGCATAAAATACCACAGTCGAAATTTATACATCAACAAGGTGGTCCAAAAACTTTGTTTGCATTAGTTAAATAAAGGCTATAAAAACTCTACACAAATGTAATCCGAAATATAATAATTGAAAATATGTGCGGAGGAAGGCGAGGTGCAATCACCAAGGCACTTCTTCTCAACTGTCCACCTTTTGCCAGACTGAGGTGGAAACATATCGGTAGACACAACTTGAGCGAACCTGATGAAATGGCGGAGATTGATATTAACCGCCTTAACAAATTCTTGGTAAGCTCAAAACGCTCAAATCGTCGATCGCTGAGGGTCTGATTATCCATATATAGGAGTTTTGGGAAACGGGTCAGTTTTCCAAGTGGAATCCTGCGTTACCTTTGTTGCGAAAATCAGCCTATATTCTAACCTAAACTTTTGTGACCAAGCATGACCGCTCACCTGGGAAGTTGATTAATTTCGACTTTTGTTTATTATAATTAAAAATATATATAATATTATAAAGGTGCAACCTTGTTTATAATCTAAACAGGGTATATTAAGTTTGGCACGACGTTTTTAATACACAAAAGGAAACGTCAGATACTCTATAAACCCTTCTGTCTGTGTATAAAAGTTGTGTTAATTTCCACCAAATAAAAGAAGTCGTCTTTATCTTACAAAAGTCTGTCACGGAATAGGTCGCTTCTTTACTGAATTCCTTCTTAAAAATACATGTGGTCAACGGGATACAGCATCACGCCATATGATACATATATGGATAGTTTGAATGCTTCAATTTTACATTTACATTCCCTACGCTAAAGTGGAATGCAAGCAATGCTAAAAGGAGATCACAATTATGCTGATCATTCAGCATTCAGCAATCAGCTGGCTGGTAGTGGTTTGGGTTCTTGCTAATTATGCGCAGGACTGCATTCTAATGTACTTAAATCTTGAACAGTCTGTATATGCGCAAACTAATCACTCAGTTTTTGAGATACTGCATACGTCCTTTTTTCTAAAGAAGCCGCTTATTTATCGGAACCGCCGATCTTGGGCCACTATTGCTGCGCTACGAACTGAACGATCAATATTAAGGATATATCTTCACAAAATTTGACAATGATTATTGTTTGAGACAACTGTATAATTTCCAAAAAAATTGTTCAGATCGGACCACTATAGCACATTCTTTGCCGCAAAAATTAAGCTATTTAAATCCCGTGTATAGAAAAATGTTTTAATTGACTGGATATCTTCACGAAACTCGGCATGGATTCTTGTCCAAGGTTTCTCAAAATAAATTCGAAAAATTAATCCTTTACTTGTGTACTTGCATAATAAGTCAGCAGCACTTATAGCCTTAACTGGGTTTTTCTGAAAGGCGATTGAATAATGAAAGAACTTTACGTCCACTCGTATCTATAAAAATATTTTGTAGAGAATTTAGAACCACCTACGATATATAATATATAAGTATATAAATTAATGGTTAAGATAAGTTTTGTGTGATATTAGACCGTTCATTATTGCGAAGATCTTCATTTCATAAAGGTATGAGTTTGTGTGAAACTATTGTATGAACTTATGTACTTAAGCTAAATACATAAACAAACGATGAGGTGTGTGTTACGTGATAAAGAACCGAAACTATTTTTTAGTTAAACAAAAATCTTCAATTCGCTTTACATAATTAACCTGAAATACATAAGATTTTCAGAAGTAGCAAGTAAAGAAGAAACAAATTAATTCAGCCAATCAAAATAGTAATTAAGCTTGACTTGAACTTTTCCAATCCTTTATCTTAATAACATAACTAAAAAACTATTTAAAATCTGTCACAATACATTGCAAGTGAACTCTAATTTCTACACTACCATTGAGACTTGATGTCGTCGTTGAAAAACTCGTGCAGTTATCGAGATAACACAGACTAGAGTGCAATTCTCAGCTGTAATTAAAATTGCAATCATATTGCAGGGGGTAATAACAGAAAAATATACTATAAATGACGAAAAGTAAAAGAAAACATAGCATAATAACGATGTCCATGCACTCGAGCATTTCTTTCCGCAATTATTCTGCTAGTCCGCCTTCCTATTACTTTGTTCTCGAAATAACTTTATTATCATCAGCGGTTTCGCGATTATTCTCATTACATTTATCTATGTATGCCAAGTGGAAAAGTAATTTTCTCTGCGACAAAGTGGACAAATGACGGAAGGCAATGGGAAAGAGGCAAAAAATAATCGTAATGACTTGCCGTGATGAGCTCTACATCTTTATTAGTGAATTTGAGTAAAAATATACTTGTATGTTATATGTGTTTGTAAGTATATTATATCTGCTTATAATATGTGAGCACTTGGAATGTACTTATGCAAAAATAACGGGAATTTTATATTAAGTTGATATATATGGATGGTTGCAATATCTGAAGTACGATAACATTTTCAGCTGTATTCATGTTTTACTTTGTAACAGCCGTATTTTTATGAGCTTAGTGATTTTCGTTTGTTAAAAGCTCACACTTCGTTACTTGTTCGTGTATTCGGGTCCAAAACAATACTGTAATGATGCCCTAACCTTAATATTCGCCAGAGAGGGCTCCGCGTAATTTTTTACTTATTTCCGAAAATTAAGAGAACCTTAAAGAGCCGTCGTTTTACAAACATAGTTGACATTAAAAGCGCATTGCTGAAAATGCTAAAGGCTGCCCCAAAAATCGAGTTTCAGAATTTTTTCGACGATTAGAAGAAGTACTGGCATAAGTGCATAATATGAACACATATTTTTTTTAAAAAAGTCAATGTTTTTCTAATTGAAAAAGTCAATGTTTTTCTAATTGATATTTTATTGCACTGATTCAGTCTTTTATCGAAGCTTTTCTTTTGAATAGTACTTTAAAGTTGTTGATAAAACCTGTCTACTTTTTCATACTTTCATAGTTTAAGCTTTCAAAAATATGCATATATATATATATATTATATTAATATATTAGTGACACGACATCAAACCAGAACATTCAATTCGACAAAAAGCTTTTGTCTTTATTTCTTAAGTTTGACTTAACTGATTTCCTTGAAATTTTTTATGAGTCTTCTCTATATTATATCTTTATCGTACTTACTGGTAATCATAACAAATTAAAAATGTTTACTATTTAAAAAAAAAAGATCAAAACATTATTATTTTTTCAGGCATCTGCAACTTAACAAGTTTTTTCAGTTTTCTTTTTAATAAGAATGGTTTAGTATTTATCGGGATAAGTAGAATTTTAAACTTTTTTGCTTGCGATCATTTGTAGAGTTGCATTAGGCTCAGCCAGTATTATATATACAATATATAAAATTTGGCACTACCCATTCATATCAAATTTCGTGTTTAAAGAACTCCAACATCAAGCAAATTTGGGGCATAACATATCTTGATATTCTTATATTATGGTATGAAAACGGACTACAAACACGCCTATTTCCCATATAACAAAATTTTATATTCCAACTATTTCTTTCGATTTACAGTAAATATCATAAATCAAGCAACAATGAAGACATCGGCAACATACTTTGAAAAAATAGTGCTTTCAAGGAACGCCTACCCAAAAATGGCCGTATGGACCCCCGTGCCGGTGTATGACTTTTACCGTGAGATATATGAATGAAATTCAAAGAACATTCATATGTCGTGATGTCAAAAATGGATAAAAGCGGGTCAATACTACCCCTAGCCCGCATATATCTAATACAAGAATTTCAAACTTCCGGTTGGATCCATACTCGTATATTGGTTTTGCGGGTACTTTACTTATATCTTTGCGCACAAGACTGTATTCGAAAGAATTTAATAATTTGTTTTCAATTTCAAAAACAATCGTTCATTTGGATTTCAAGCATTTTGTGTACACTCTATGTACTATTCAATATGTTCCAAAAAACCAACAAATTAATTCTACGAAATTTGTTTTTGTATTTGGCTGAATAACATCAAAAAGAAATAGTTTCTGGCATCGATGACTACATTACTACAACTCTTGCCTATTCTCTGTTGTATTACATCATTTTTGCTACTCGCGCAAAATGTGCAAAGCCTTAGAAACAACTGCACGAGTGACGATGAGCCCATTTATCAGCAGCCAAGTAAAAAGTTCAATTACCCTTTAAGTCTATTAAATTCATCGCTGGATGACAAAAACTATACAATGCTTATTTCTGGCGGATATAAGTTCAAAAGACTTAAACTTTACAGGCACATAGTATCCATACGCACCACTCGAGCCACCGCGTACTTCGGAGATAATCACATTTGTGCGGGCTCAATCATATCCAGCAATTTAATATTAACCGCAGCGCATTGTGTTATTGAGTGAGTAGAGTGTGTGCTCTTATTATTATATATCATTTAATTTATTTATATAATTTCTCCAACACAAATTCTAGTCGTCGTAAAATTATTACGCGCACGCAACGTCTTCTCGTGGTTGCTGGAGCGCCGAATCGTTTAGTTAGGCACAAAAAAACGCTTGAAATGAAAGTGCTCCAAGTGGTGCCTCATAAAAAGTATGTACCAGAAGGTGCTCACGATATAGCATTATTGCGTCTCGCTAGCAGCTTTCCCGACGACAATGACTTGATCAAAGTAATACCCCTCAGGGATGAAATTATACCAAACGGAACAGAGTGCCGCATCATTGGTTGGGGTCAATTGTTTTATGTGTGTACTCTTTCTTTCTGTATCACACCCAAATGATTGGAAATGTATTTAGTCTATTTTATTCCTACAGCGCGGTCCCTACGCGGCTGCACCAATAACTGCCGTTATAACGGTTTTTTCGTATGATTATTGCCAAAAATTTTATCCAGATGTATTTGATGAGACGATGATATGTGGCGGCAAGGCAGACACATGGGATGTGGACACATGTCGTGGCGACGCAGGTGGTCCACTAATTTGTGGCGATTTTGTGGCCGCTGTTGTATCTTGGAGTTCATACTGTGGTGAAATCCACAAACCAACTGTTTTTACCAGTGTATATCATCATCTCGCTTGGATCCAAATGACAGGCGGTACAAAAATAGTAAAAGCAATTAAGTCGCTGGATTTATTTTTATATATCCTATGCATGCATATATATTTTTGAGATGTATCTATGTTTGTATGTATATAAATTTATATTTCAGTGCATGACAGATGCAAGCTGTATTGGGTTTTGGGATATGTACGAATAATATTACCTTATTTTTTCTTGATGTTTTTTTCATAACCTCTTACACTTAATTCTGATTTTATATTACCTCTTTTCTGCTGTCTCTAAGCATTTGAGAATGATTATAAAATTGTAGTCTTATTGTTAAACTTATATTTACGAGGGCAGTCCGATAAATGCAAGCCGAAGTTTTGTTGAATAGGATTCCTTCTTTTGATTTGACCTTGACCTTGACCTCGTTTGAAAATTAGGTTTTCTGCGGATTTTAGACAAATGAAATGACAAGGAATAGATTAAGATTTTCTTATAAGCCGATGCTGAATTGCAGAGAAATGGCAACGTTTGGAGATAAAAGGGTAGAAATTTCAGTTGAATGAGAAGGAAATCGCTATTAGGGAAGCCTACTTTGCAGTCCTCTAGAAAAAGTATTTTCAACCCGGTTAAGCAAGTTGGAGCATCGCTAGTTCATCTGTGACGAGTTAAAAAGAATTTATGTTGACAAATAAATCATAATATTTTTTTTTAATTATCAGTTTTCTTTCGTACGATACTCTCTTCCTCTGTACATAATATTTACCAATGAAAGGTTTGCACTAAGTATCTAGCCACACCAGAACAATACAACAAACTCAACTTTGCTCATAAAGTATCAATTCCGATCAGCTCTCCTCACACCAACGTTGAAGAGCAACAGCGATAGCTAAACCAATTATATCTAAAGTAGAGGACGATCTTCTTTCGAGCTGTTGAACGCATTTGTCTTTTTTCAAAACGGACGGTGGATTATCAGTAGAAGATTGCTCTTCCAGAATCATCGGTTCCAATGTGCAAGGATATGACATATGTCGGTCCAACCGGTCAATTTAACCGATCCGACAGGCGACTATAATTTTAAGCACTATTAACTAAGCTTGAAATATTTTGTTACAATAATGACATTTCCGAACCAACTTCGACCCAAATATTTAAAATATCACGGATCTCAAAGCCGATATTTACAACTTTACAAAAGTGATTAGTAGTAGTTAGAGACTAAATGTAGAGTAGTAGGTTCGTAAGATCACTAAATGAAATTGCCTTGGCTCAAAACACGGCGCACTGCTGAATAAAAAATTAGTGTCCAGATCCAGTTTTATTCAGTTTTCGTGCGTTTTCATCAAGAGATTTGGTGATTTGGCTTGAAGATTCGGAACTGGAAGCATTACTCGACGAAGGTTGTTGCCAAACACAAGAAAAGTTCGCATAATCTCTATGTGTCACTTAAGCAACCATTACAAAACGCTTAAAATCAGCCAGATATATTTGAAAAGAAGGAAATTAGTTGCCATATCAATTGAAGTTAAGGAATGTTGAGAGACGAGTTTGCATGTCAGAAATGCCACTTGAATGCTACACAAATACGCCGCTTATCCATCAGGTTGTGACTGATGACGAAAACTGCATTTATCACGACAACCTTAAATGCAAATCCAGGCTAACTAGACTAAACAACGGCAAGGCCGAATATCCCAGATGTCAAGGTAATGCTCTGTATTTGGTGGGATAAGAAGGGCATGCTATATTATGAGCATCTAAAACCAATTGAACCATTAATGGAAAACGCTACAGACAACAACTCATCAAACTAAAAAGAGCGATTGCCGAAAAATACCCGGAATTCGCGACTAGACACGTGGTAATGATTTACCAACGCTTGGCCTCATGTTGTAAGACCAATAAAATCTATTTGGAAAGCAATGGCTGGGAAATTTTATCTCACCCGATTTGTATCCCAGACCTTACCTCTTCTGGCTGCCTTTTCTATTGGTCGATGCAGAACGACCTTAGTGGAATACAGTTGACATTAGAACAGGGTATCAAAAATCAAAAAAAAAGTCTATAACTCAAAAGTAACTACCTACTTTCTCGGAGTTGGTCTTTTTACTGCTGTTACTTGACTTATACTTACTTTGGTTTGCCATTTCATAATTCAGAAGCCGAACGACCATCAAGCGCGTCGCACGTTCAGTAAATATGCCCATACGATCCGGTGGCCGGTGGTGAGCAATAAAGATTTTGGTGTAACGTTGTTGTTGAAGCGCAGTTACATCCTTAAAAAGTCACGGTTTGGTTTGCTCTATGAACAGAGCGAATCACTAGTCTTCTTCAAAAAGGAAGGCAGCCATAATTTTACAGTCAATGGGAAACGGTATAGAGCCATGATTAACGACTTTTGCGTGACTGAACTGAAGGATGTTAATGTGGACGACTTTTGGTTCCAACAAGACGGAGCTATATACCATACAGCCAACGAAGCAATAAATTAATTGGAGGAAATTTTGGGTCAGCGTATTATTATTTTACGTCGTGGGCCTGTGGCATGGCCTCCAAGACTGTGCGATTTAATACCGCCGGACTATTTTTGTGGGGCTATGTAAAGTCGCAGATATGCCTGAGGCAATTGACGCCTTGGAAAATAATATTCAGCACGTTATTGCTGACATGTGGCGCCAATGAAGTGGTTGAAAATTGGGTCTCTCGGCTGGAATTTATTCGAGCCAGCCGCGGCTTTCACTTGCTCGAAATCATTTGAAAAACATAATGGCAAACCCATATCTTTATAATAAAGTTAATTTCTTGGCCATAACATTAAGTTATATACGTTTTATTTCCTCTTGAAAACCAAATGTATAAAAAAAGCACCCTTTATATAAAATATTTATTTAAAACTTTAGTATGTTATTTTTTAAGGTATAAACTATCGAAATTTGCAAAACCAAAAAAAAATAATAATAATTTTGCGAAATTTCACATTAGATATGAGGAGTTCGCTGTGTCAAACAAAACATTTCAAAATAATCAACATATTTTAAACAACAGTAACAAAATTTATCTCTTTCGTGCAATTAAGTAAATATTTGTGCATATGTACATATATATACATATGTATGTATGTTAGTATATATATATGCATGTATTTAAGTACACTTAACTCATTCGCTCATTAATCGAATAAACAACAAGCAAATCTGTGTACATATGCCGTTACTTTCATATTGTTTGTTTACAAGTAATTCAGCACGCATTGACAGTCAATTAAAAATCAGTTAATCAAATTAAGTCTATCGCAGAGCATAGTGCTCTTCACAATAGCTCACCCACAATGAGCGCACTTGTTGCCTTATCGAACTCTTCAAAATGTTGGCACTTCATGGCTTAATGGCTGATCTGTAAATGCATAATAAATCGGATTTTTTAAATCATTTAAATTGTTGTTTGCCCATTCGCAAACACTCTGCTGGCAATTGTTAAGTATTTTTTAATTGAGGGTAGTATTATTTTTTTTTTCAAAATTTTATTTACTACTGCATAATAATATTTATGCAAGCATGCACTTAACTATGTGCGTATGCATTTGTTGGTGGGTAGGCAAATTGTTTGTGGCACACCCGCAAAATGATTGCCAATAAATATTGAATAATGCAAAATTGATATGTGTAGCACGCCTCGTGCGACAGTCTTTTTGCTCGTGTAATTAGCGAAAAATCACTCAAAGTGATTGACATTAAATGTTTCAAATAACCGCAAATATCTCCCATGTAACAATTTGCGAAAGGGAATGTTTACAGTTGTGAATAAAAAATTTAAATAGAAATATATAAATATTGTTACATTATAAAATTTGTTTGTTGATTTAATATTATTTTTATTTTTGAATAAAAAATTAACTCTATAATGACATGTTATTTGAGATATTTAAAACGTAATTTAGTTATATGATTAACTAGCATAATATGTCCGTAATTATCAGTATTAAAGTGGAAAATGGAATTTAAACAAAATCGGGCAAAATCGAATGATAACCACGCCCTCCCCCCATAGAAGAGTTATTAAGTTCACAGCCTTCATGATACAGAAGGGCTTCATAGGAACGCGTTTCAAATTAAACAACACGCGTTAACGCCCACCTTTAGATGAGATCCTATAACCAAGATGGTGACCGTGTAAATATTTGCGAAATCGAACCACAACCATGCCCATTTCACATACATCATATATATTTCCTCTGATTATTCTACTGTACAGTACATACATCAAATACCATGAATTATAATTAGGAGTAAAACTTTAGGCACGTAATCTCACGTCGAACAATTGGAAAATCGAACCATAACTTTTCAAGCCTCCGAATATATGGGCCCCAATGCTAACTCAACACTTATGTGTCAAAAATAGGTAAAATTAGAGCAATGATTTCGAACTTCTAATTTACTTTATACCGCATTGAATTAATAGCGTATGTATCTCATACGTAAGATGTATTTGCAAAATTAAGTGCACGCATTAAGATACAGCTTAATTTCGAAAACGTGTGAAATTGGTCACCAATTACTACAACTACCATATGCTATATATGATGACATATTCTAGCAGATTTTATGCCGAATATGTCGGTCAATGTTTGAGTTATATTCGTAAAATTGAAAATGGAAACAAGTTTTCGAATGTACTTTAGCATTGTCGAAAGTTAATGTAACCAGGCTAGACCTGTACAGAGCCCTAATATACCAGTTATAGTAAGTTCCGGCTTTCCGACTGAGTTGACCCATTTATGTTGGTGAATATGTGTAATATTTTGAAGAAATTAAGTGGCCATGTTTTCTAAAACATACTGGGTTTAGCGCAGAAAATGAGTGAAATTGGCCGAGATCTTGGTTTAAACCCCATATCCCTAAGAAAACGATTTCCGATTCTCTGTTTGTCTTATTACCCTCAGCTAGCCACTCCTGGACGCTTGCTTTCTTCAAACAGTCCAATTGTTGACAATATGAATTAAGAATTTAGCCATTATGGGAATACTCATAGTAGATGATAACCTGCAAATTTCACCAACACAGATCCCTCCTGACCGTTAATCTTAGCTTGGCCTGCCTAACCGGTTCAGAAATGGATCGATTTTGTTGCAATTCAGTAGCGATTCGCAGATGAAAATTCGGTTCTAAAAG